CTCCTTCCCGTCTTCTGTCACCCCATGGCAAGGGGCACACTAGGAGCTGGTCCCCATCCCCTGCCTGGTGGCAAACCCGGTCCAGCCGGGGGATATTTCCACACAGGATGTCCTGCTTCTGCCTGTTGGTGGTCAGGGGTTGTGCAAGAGGAATGACTGACCTGAAAAGCCCCTCCTGACACATCTCCTCACCTGACCATGCCTGTGAGAAAACCCTTCCACAAGGCTTGGGCACAAGGGGTGACATCACTGCTCTTCCAAGGTATGCTGAGATGAGGCCCCCCCATCCTCCTGCCTCCCCTCCAGCCCTGGTGTTCTCAGACACTACAACCCTCCAGCCCTGGTGCTCTCACAACCATCAGCATCTGAGTTTATTCGATGTCCATGGGTTGATCTTGGTGCAGTAAAAAATCCCACAGCACCAGAAATCCCTGCTTTCACCACTCCCTTTGCCTGGCCCAGGCCATGGGTTGGCAGAAGGTGGCATTTCCCACTGCTCCCTGTGGAACTCTGATGCTCAGCTGCAGTGACAGGAGTGCTGGAGGTGCAGGACAACCACAGAAACACCCAACAGGGAATCACCAGAGTATGTCCCAGCAACCAACAGCCACAGCAGCGAGGCAGCAGAACACTGGGGAAGGACGAAATGCCAACCTGGGAAGTCACAACCAGCGCTGAGAGTGCCCAGCACCAGCTGCTGCAGCTCTGTACACATCACATCTCTGGTGGGAGACTCCAGATGACCCAACAAAACACCAACAGGAAGAAAGTGAAAGACTCGAGGAGCAAATTCACACCCTGATTCCCTCTCTCCCAGCTGAAGGATGCTCTGTGCTGTCTTCCTGTGGGGAATCTCACAGGATTCACTTGCAACAGTGCAGATAAAACACCAACCACTCTCAACACAGTGAACAAAAATCCCTTTGAAAACTCTTAGAAAATGTGTGAAACGGGCTTTGAATGCTGAATTAGTTTTTCTCCACACTCACTGCAAGCTTCAGAACTAAAAATACAGCCCTGGAATCACAGAACTATAGGATTGTTTAGTTTGGAGAAGACCTTGAAGATCATGGAGTCCAACCACTCCCCCAGCTGTGCCAAGCCCACCACTAACCACGTCCCAGGTGCCACATCTACATGGCTTTTAAATCCCTCCAGAGATGGTGACCCCACCACTGCCCTGGGCAGACTGTCCTAGTGCTTCACCACCCTCTGGGTGAAGAAATTTTCCCTGATATCCAACCTAAACTTCCCTTGGAGCAGCTTGAGGCTGTTTCCTCTCCTGCTGTCCCTTGTTCCCTGGGAGCACAGCCTGACATCCTCCAGCTCCCTCCTCCTGTCAGGGAGTTGTAAAGAGTGAGAGGGTCCCCCCTGAGCCTCCTTTTCTTCAGGTTGAGCCCCCCCAGCTCCCTCAGCTGCTCTCGGTTCTCCAGACCCTTCCCCAGCTCTGTTCCCACCTCTGGACACGCTCCAGCCCCCTCAAGGTGAGTGAGGGACCCAAAACTGAACTGAGTCATTACCTGATGTACACAAGGAATGAATAAGGATAAAATATGCTGAGTATTTTCCATGCTAAAGACAGGAATACCTGTCATACCATCCCCGTGTATCCTACCTTATCCTCACCACGGATCTGATTCAACTTGTCCTTGGACAAAAAGCCCTCACACACGTCATGCACAAGCATGTCGAGAGAACAGAAAGCACTTCTGAAAGGAGGGAAAGCTCCGCAGCACAGAGGTGACATGCCCTGGGGACAAGCTCTTCCTTTGATTCCCTAATTCCTTTTGTGCTTTTCCTCACCTTTAAAAGCGTTCCTAAGCCCCAAACATGTAAGTCTATAAAAACATCTCCCCTCTTTAAAGCTCGTTAAAGTGCCGAGGTGAGTGGGATTGGGAAGCTCTGCCGATTTCTCTAATCAGTAGAAACTATTCAAGGATCACAGGCTGGGACTCGTCTGACAAGAGCAGGAGAATTTGCATAACAGGGAGGGCTGAGAGCTGAGCTGGGGACAAACAGGGAGCAGCAGGAGACACATGAAGAGTGACATGACATGACAGGACAGGACATGACCAACAGCTGAGCGGGACTGTCCCTGCCTGTGCCCCGACTGCAAGGACCCAGTTCCATTTATGAGAAAGATGAGTCCCAAAAATCATCATTCCCTGTCCTGCACCGAGGGCTGGCTGGGAAACATCCCAGTACAGCCCAGCACTGGGTTTCTTCTGGCCACTGTACTGCTGAGCCACCCTGGGAGAGCCACCTCTGCCAGGTGCACTTGTGCTCTGGAGGGGAAAAGAAGTTTCTCCTCCTCTTCTTGGAGTTCTCAAGAACAAATTCTAAGCTTGAGTGAAGAGAATGAGCTGTTCCTGACTCATCTCAAGGGCTCAGCTCCTGCTCTCCAAGACTCTGACTGCTCAACCTCTTCCAGCCAAAGGTTTGCAGGTCACACACCACTTCAAGGAGTCTGATGCCGATTAAAGTTCTTATGAGCTCTTTTAACTCAGAACTGACTCACCTGGAAATCCTAGGAAAACACAACAAAAACAAACTCCTGGGTGTTTGCTTGAGTACAGATTGGAGTTATCTGCTTGCAAAGGCCTTGAACATATATTAAGCATTTTGTGGCAGTCACAGTGAAGGGAAAATTAACTTTGACACTCGTGGTCAAAACATTAGTGTCAGTTTTTTAGTATTCTAATAATACTAAATAAACAACTGGGATCGAGGGGGATGATGGGGGTGGGGGGGAGAGAAACAGTAAAAACAAAATCACATCTCTACACAGCACTTCCATAGAAATACAAACTTTTATATTTGATAATAAATGGAGCCACACCTACCCCTGAACTCAGTTCTGGGTACTGTAAAAGCAGAGATTAGTCCTTGTCGCCAAGGTTTTACAGTCTAAATGAAAACAAATAGTGAATTATAGAAGGAAAGGAAGTCAGGCACATGTGTAAGGTTTCCAAGGAGTGCTGTGGCTTGGCTTGGATTCGAGCACACGGTTTTGGTGCTTTATCAAACAATGTGTGGTGGACGAGAGGCTGGACACGAGCCAACAGCGTGTTCCGGCTGCCCAGAATTCCAACGTGTCCTGGGCTGTTCCCACAGCGCGGAGAGCAGGTGAAGGGGGGGATTCTGCCCCTCTGCCCCTCAGGTGAGACCCCCCTGCAGAGCTGCTCCAGCCCTGGGGAACAGCACAGGGAGGACATGGAGCTGCTGGAGAGAGTCCAGAGGAGGCCCCAGGATGATCAGAGGGCTGGAGCAGCTCTGCTGGGAGGGAAGGCTGGGAGAGTTGGGATTGTTCAGCCTGGAGAAGGGAAGCTTTGGGTGACCTAGTATGGCCTTCCAAGACATGAAGGGAGCCTGCAAGAAGGATGGAGAGAGACTATTTCCAAGGGCCTGGAGTGACAGGACGAGGGGCAATGGATTCCCGCTGCCAGAGGGCAGGTTAGATGGGATATTGGGAAGAAATTGTTCCCTGGGAGGGTGGTGAGGCCCTGGCACAGGTTGCCCAGAGAAGCTGTGGCTGCCCCATCCCTGGAAGTGTCCAAGTTGATATTGGACAGGGCTTGGAGTGACCTGTTCTAGTGGAAGGTGTCCCTGCCCATGGCAGGGGGTGGAACTGGGTGATATTTAAGGTCCCTTCCAACCCAGACCATTCCGTGATCCTGTGATTTACCAGCTCTCTTTTAAACCACACTGGTTTTCACTATTTCTTGCTTACTCCTTCACACTTTCTCTTTCCCTGGCCTATTCCCTCTCCAGCCTGCTGGCAGGGATCCCATCCTTGCTGCTGGCAGCCTCAGTCACCCTCACTAACCAAACCACGTGTTCTTCTCAGAGCATGACTTTTACCTCTCTGGTGTATCAAGAGCTTCTCCAGACTGTTGTAATAGTCTGTTATTGAAGTGATAAGAGCTGGCTGAATTTTTTATGAATATTTTACAGATGTTCTGGGACATGAGAAAATAGTTTTCTTTCTTTGATCTTATTTTTTAATAACCCAAACCTGAAATGCCTTTCACGAGGAGGTGAGGGAAACCAAACCTTGTTGCTCTCTCACTAAGAAATCTGCAAGTTTCCAGCCTGTTTCTCTACCCAGGGAAAAAGGAGAAGTTTCTGAACATCACTGTGTGTGCACGTAGACATCAGAGAAAGTTTCCATTTTAAAGAGAACTTTCCTGGGGAAAAAAAAATCCGATTTCAACAGTCTGGGTAAATCTAAGTGTCAACATCTCCACAGATGGGTCCTGCCAAGCACTTCCTAAATGGCACTGGAGGAGGGGGCTGCTGCAGAATGGTAGGGAGCAAGCAAGGAATTAGCCTTCCCTGGGATATAGGAGCTATTTCCAGCTGGATATCAGCTTATTCTTCCAGACCTGTTGTTGAGCAGCTCCAGAGGTTGTCCATAGGAGCAGCCCTTCTCATCAGGAGTCTCAGCTGTCAATAAAGAAAGATGATATATTTTTCTTCCAAGTGCAACGAAGTCACAGTTTTTTCAAGAAACAATAACATGCCTTCCTGAAAGCATAAGATGATTTTGGAGAAGAACCCCAGAGAAGACAAACATCCCACTTCAGGCCTGACCCTGCACTCTTTGGTGCAAAAGATGCACGTTGAGCAACCTGCAGCCTGATGTGGATTCTGCTAAAATGCAGAGATGAAGCAACTCTTCAGAGAACCAGAGCCCTTCTTTGGGGTCACTTACTTCTCACCTTCCCTAAAATCCTCTTCCCCTTTGTCTGGGAAAGAAGAAACTGCGGGGCTCCGTCCCCTCTGCCTCTCTCGCTCTCCCCCTGCTTCTCACTTTCACTCCCATTGGTTTCATGTTCCCTCTGCCATGAGGAAAAGCTTTCAAGTCTCTCCAGCCCAGCAGCAGGGTTTATCCTGGTTCCACCCACTGGGACTTTCCTGGCTTCCTTCAGCACTGAGAGAGGGGGGAGGAAAGGAAAAGAAAAAAAAAAAAAAAGCGGTCGGGAGGCAGGGAGCGGGCAGGGAGCGCGGGGAGCCGCGGAGCTCCCGATCCCCGCGCTTGGGTTTCTATTGTAGGCGGCGCATTCCTCGGGAGGGAGGGTGTGTGTGTGTGTCGGTGCCTTCCCACACTCGGGGCAGCTCTTATTTAATGGGGGTCTCCATGCAGGGCAGACGCCAGAGGAGGTTTTGCCGTCCCCAGCTCCCAGCGAGGAAGAGCATCTCGCCCGGCAGGAGCTGCCATGGAGCGCGTGGTCCAGATAACGCCGGAGGCAGCGGCTCCCGGGATCAGCCAAGGCTCTGGGATGCACCTCAGGAAGGATTTGAGGAGGATACGGTGCGCGGTGCTGCTGTGCCTGCTCTCGGTGCTGGTCCTCATGCTGCCCATCGCCTACCTGCTGGTTGGGAACCTGCGAGCGCCCAGCTCCTGCGGCAGCCAGGTAAGGAACTCGCTCCTCATTCCTGCCGGGAGGAGCGTCCTGGCGCCTCCAGGGCTGCCTTTGTTCGGGTCTTTTAATTCTCTTTACGAGTTTCTCGTGATTAAGGGAATGTGTTGAGGCTCGCTGTTACGTTCCTCCTTCCTTACGCTGAGAAAAACCGCCCGGGATAAATCGTATTACTGCTCAGAATTCTGTGATTCTGTGATTCAGACTTTTTAACTAACGGTTCCTGTTCTTGTCTTAATTTCACTGAGGTCGCAGTACAATGCATTAAAACTTTTATTGGCTTGCTGCAGGCAATGCTTCAAAAACCACTAGTTGATGTAAATCAGTGCCTCTCCACTGATTTCAGCCAGATTTTCACACTGTGGCTCATTTTCCTCCCTTCTTTGGGGTTAAATCTGAGACTTCCCCTCCCGGTGTCTGATTTGAGCTGACCAGGCTGTGATGTCAGTGGGTCAGTCACCCATCACTGGGCTGACAGTTCTTGTGTATTATTAATGCAAACTTCTGCAGAGATCTGATCTGAGGCAAGGAGCCTGGCCCTAAATTTCACTCCCTGTTTTTCACTCTCCCTTAAAACTCTCTCTGGATCCAGGGATCTTCTCAGCTCTTCTCCACTGACAGCTGCACTCCCTTTGCTCCCAGCCATGCAAGTTCATGCTATGTTACTTCTAACACTCTTTCATGCTGCTCCATCCCTTCTGGTGCCAGTCTGCAAGTGCCCATTCCCACGGGACACTGTGAATTCAGCAGGACTGTGCCATGTTACCAGGGTGTATATATGTCCAGAGAATTTTACCCTCAGCTCTGAAATCCCCCAGCTAATCAGTGTGCTTGCTAGGAGCTTATTTAGGATAAAAAAGCAGGGTTAGGAAGAGGCTTCAAAGGCAGGTTTCTAACCTTGTTTAGCCTGGGGATGTTTAGGGGGTGTGAGAGCCCTGCAGGGACGTGCCAGCCCCTGGTTGACCCTGAGCTCGTTCCCCAGTGCAGCATCCTCTGTGTTACCTGGTTCTACCCTCGTGCAGCCTCGTGTGGCACCTCTTCTGTCCAACCTGCCAGTTCCTTGCCTGTGTGAAATGTGTTACTGCCACTGCTGTTGAGGCCAGTGGGTGCACACGAGGTGAAGAGTCTCAGCTGCTTGAGGTTGTACAGAGCAGAACAGCTCAGCCTTGAAACAGAGTGAAATAATAACAAAGTGTGAGCTTGTTTGATCAATCTGCTGCGTTCCTGGCTCTTGATGCTGTTGGCAGAGTTAGCAGAGAAAAGTATTTTTACCAGTGGGTTTGGCTTCTTAAGGGGAAAAGCACAACGTCAGCCCCGAGCCCTGCTCCAGCCCGGGCTGCCCTGGTGTTACATCCACTCACGTGCACTCAGTTATCAGCATGTAACGTTCCCACAATGATGTAACGAGCTGATCAGATGACTTAACAACTTCTGTGAGTCCCAGGGAGGAAGAGGAAAGTCCTGGGGCTGGCTGGGTGCCCACTGTGCAGTGGGAGGAGCTGCCCCTCAGCTGGCTCCTGCCTGCTCTCAGTTTTTCATTCATTCTCATGTTTTCTGGCTCTACCATCAGTGTTGTCCAGCAGGAAAGGGCAGATGGGTGGATCTGCCCACCTGTGTGGCTTTGTCTATAAAGTCCCCCAAGAGCCATGTCACACACTGAACCCAGGAGCTCAGTCCTGCCGTTCCAGTCCATGGGAATGCTTCTTGGGAAAATGTCTTTTTGCATCTCCTTCTGCATTTGGAGAGTTAGAACTGGATTGTTAAATGGCCCCTTCCCCATGTGCTCCATTGATAGCCCAGATCAGGACTACTGGGACCAGAGGTGTGTGTCAGGGCTCTCTGTGGCACTGGTTTTGGGGTGTGGGTGCCCTGGGCATACTGGGACCAGTGGGCAGAGCCCAGTTTGCCCCAGATGAGCATTGGTTTGCTGACCCTCACAGCAGAGAGCCCACGGGAGGAATCCTCTCCTTGCTGCAGGACTAGAGCTCAGCCCACACATGCTTGGATTGTCACCTTCTCGTGCTCTGGGGACAGTCCTGGGAGGAGGGAGGGACTCAGCATGTGAGAAGAAAACATAGTAAATTCCTGAGTGAGTTCTTCCTGGAGCAAGGGGAGGAGAAGGGGAGGTTTGTGCAACAGGGGTGTGTTTTTCCTGGCACTCTGCCTGCGGGGTGAGGCAGTTTGGTCATCTCTGCCTCTGTGTGGGTGCACATGGTGTCACCTCCTGCCTCTGAAGGGATGCAAACTCACCTTTCCCCTGGAAATGTCCCTTTCAGGAAAAAGCAGGGCAAGTTATGTCATTACAACATGTGTGAGCCACCAGTTTTCTGTCTCTGTTATGGTACAATGAGTCTTGGATGAATAATTCAAGGTTGATGATGGTTTCCCTGGACACCTTCCAGGCTCACTGCACTGCTCCTTTTGGAAAGAGAAATCACTTTCTTTTATGCTCCAAGACGGAGTGAGGTGAGGAAATAGAGTTCTTTAAATAATAACACATGGCTTGTGTTATTAGCAGAAAAACTATATAAAGGCTCTAGTGGTGCCCTTCCAGAGGAAGGCCCAGGAGTGCTGCTTATCCTTCCCCAAAGGGAAGCCAAGTTTCAGTCTGAGTTCATAAATCTCTCAAAGGAGCAGCTCAGCAGCCAAGAGAATCCCTGGCTGCCTCAGCAACCTGCTCAGCTGACCCAGGAAAGCAGAGCATCCAGTCCCGTGGCCTGGAAACAAACTTGGGTTTATTTTCATGGCATTCTTGGCATGTCAGGACCACAAAGAGAAATTCCAAAGCCTGTCCAAAGGGCTGCATGTGAACCTGTGTGCCACGTCTGTGCCATGGCAGCTTGGCAATGGAGAAGGGAGCTGCTGCAGGGCGGGAGGGGCTTGAAAGTCCCAGCAGCTCCACCTGGATCCCATCCCAAAGGAAGTCAGAAATCTGGCAACAAAGCTCAGAAAAGATCCCCCACATGGGAAAGAGACCCTGAAATGGGTTCCTGATGTGTAGGGATGGAGAAATGCCTGGGGAGGAGCAGGGAGCACTGTCCCTGGATGGGCCCAGGTGTTGGGGTTCCCCTCCCAAGAGCAGCAGTAAAACTCCTGAGTGGCCTCTGCTGCTGGATGAACGTGGTCCTTGTGGGCACAGAAGGCCAAGAGCACATGCCCTGGGTCCAGACTTCCTCTGGGCACTACTGTCCAGCCAAAATGTTCTTATTGAAGCCAGTTTTTACTGGCACTGGACAAGTCCCTGCCAAAAACGCCCAGCCCAGGCCATGCAGCATCTCTGGAGTGAGCAAAACTTGGCTCTATGTACCATCTATGAGCTGTAAAATAGTGTCCTGTGCTAAAACTGGAGTGGATGGAGGTGCTGGGCATGTTTTGTTTATTAATTCCTCTGCCTGAAGTGCCAGCTGCTTTTCCCACACTGTTCTCTGATGGATATCCCCGTTCCTGTCCAGAGGTTCAAGAGCCAAAGCACAGGAACAGGGGATGTTCAGCCCTTCTTTTGGGGTTTAGCAATACCTGAGTATAAATGCACTGGGGCTTTTGGACATTCTTGACACCAAAACCAGCTAGGAGTGGTTTGCACACATGCCCTGAGGGTAACAGCTGCCTGTCCAGGATGTCCATGAGTCAGCTGGAAGGGGGGATTTTCAGCATCACTCAGGGCTGGTTGGTCTCTCCCCAGTAACCAAAGGGAAAATCAAAGCAAGGCTGTGAACTTTTCAGCAAGAAAGGAAAAGAGAGAAAAGCACTAATTGTGTAAAGGACCAATTGTCTCCTGCTGCTTAGCTCTGTTCATCATCAATGTACAACATCTGTGCCTGTTTGGGACAAGTATTATTGACACCTGCTCATTATGTAGCACTGCCTGGTGCCAAAATATTTTCTCTAAGAGATTTCTGTTTTTATCCTTATCAGAAAGCACGATTAGGAATAAAAAGACCAGCCATGGCTTTGCCAACAGCAGGATAACTTCCCACCTTGCAGCACCCTGCTCTATCTGCATCCCACTGTCCTTTAGCATCTGTGAAGGGGCTCCTGCACCTGGAGTTTCCATCTGAATTTCTTTGGAAACAAGTAAATTCAGGTTTAAACAGGACCATTTTGTTACCTTTTACAAACAAGCAGGATTCTTCTCGCTCTCCTTCCCATTTTCCCACCACCTCTGTTTGTATTGCAACATCCAAGTTTATCTGAAGTACGTCAGCAGAAATTAGGCTTCAAGTATGCAAACAGTTCCCCAGAAGTTCCAGACTGAAATGTAGGTTTGTGGTTGATTTGCAGCTCCTTGCAGTACTTAGCACTGCTAGAAAATATGTCACTTGGCAACTCTGTAGGAAGTGTCACACAAATAATGGTGCAAATATACTCATATTTGCATCCATGTGGCTGAAAGCAAGGGCAGAGTGTGAGGGAAATCCTCAGTCCTGATCTTGAGCTTCCCAGTAGGGGAAGGACAAAGTCACCTGGCTGTGACTGTGTCACATCAACAGCACAGACATGTTTGGGCACCACAGCAAGCAGGACCTTGGAGAAAGTCCTCGGGCACAATGAAAGGCCCTGACATCTCCCTGACCACACCACAACTCTCCCTCAGCCCTACCCTGAGCTGTCACACCACCACCTCTGCCAGAGGGCATTTCCAGCACAGCAGGAGTGTGATGCTGCTGGGGTGATGTAGTTGTGTGCAGGTGGGCAAGGCTGTTTTCCTTCTGTGTTTTTTTCCCAACACACTGGAGCAACTACTGCAGAAATTACAGTTTTCTGCAGGAGCACACGGATGTTTACTGCTGATAAAACCTCAGATTAGCTTTGGGTTTACCAGACTAGCCAGTAGCAGCCTGATTCTTCTTCCACAAACATTCTCCTTTCCCCAGCTAATATAAATTATCTATTTTCTACTTCTCCTCTAACATAAATCACCTATTTTCCACTTCTCCTGCGGTATTTGAAGCTGTGTGAGACACAGCCACCAGCAGACAGCTCCAGCATCTCCATACTAATCCTGTTCCAGCCTGCTTATTAAAAATGCATCAAATCCTTTGCTGCAAGCTGGCCAGTGGCAGTTTATTCAGTGTATTTTTGGGAACTGTCCATAAACCAAACCACAGCAATCCTGTAGGCTCTGACAAATGTGATGGGGGTTCCCAACAGCCCCAGGAGTCAGCCCTGACTTGGCTGCACACCCCACACTGGCTGCTCCCTGCTGTGCCCTGAGGTGGCACAGGGGATGCTCCTCACTCCCCAGGGAGCTGGATCCAGAGTCAGCATCCCACAGCAGCCTCCCTTTGGAGCTGGCACGTGGCCATGCCTGGGTGAGAGTCAGGAGGAGCAGCCCTGGCAGGCGTGTGCCAGGCAGGCAGCACAGCCCCTGTGAACTGCTCCACCTCAACGTCAGAGGCACTTGGCAGGGCCCAGGGCCGTGCCCTGCAGGAGGGGGTGATGGGAGTGCTCAGCTCGAGGAGGTAAGAGCTGAGGGAGGATGAGCCACCCTGCCCTCCCCTGGCACAGTGTCAGCGAGCTGCTGAGCTCACCCTCTGCCAGCTGCTCTCTCAGACCTGCTCAGCTCCTCTCTCACGCTGCTCAGCTCCTCTCTGCCTGCCCAGCAGGTCACCCAACATCCAAGGCAGGCCCAAGCAGCACATCCACAGTCTGAAATTACACAGATGCAGGAAGTGGCACTGACTGCCATGGGCCAGTTGACAAGGTGGGGTTGGGTCAAAGGTTGGACTCAGAGGTCTTTTCCAACCTGGCTGACTCTGTGTGTGAAAAGCAGGTGTAGCTGATACACCTCAGTTAGTCTGTTATGGATGAACCTTCATGCCAGTAAAGGCTCAGACCTGCCAAGTCTTGAGACAGGGGAGCATTGCCCACGTTGCTCTGCTTGCTCTGTCTGGATTGAGGGACAGGAGGCTCTGAGCAGCAGAGGAGCTCCAGCAGTGCTGGGTGGACTCACCATCCCAGAGGAGGGTTGGCAATGCCTGATTCCCACTGCCCACTCTGCTGGGCTTCTCCCAGTTTTGCCAAGGGCTCATCCAGACTGGAGTTTAACAAATCCCCCCCCAGGAGCCAAGGTCCTGTCTCAGGTACCCTTTCAGAGGTGCAGTTTCAAATCTACAGCAGAAATCTCTTGCAGTGAAGCAAAGCCTTGTCAGGGCTCCTCACTTTTCATTAAAGCTCTTGGTGAATTCTCTGACTTGCTGTAGCACATTCCATTTTCTGGGATAACTCAGACAAGCCCCTCTGTGGAGGTTCCTCCTGGAGCCCTGAGCTAACTGCTGGTAAATCTCTCCTGCAGGTCCCAGAGGAGAGGGGCTCCCTCTTTCTGAAGCAACGGGCAGTAGATGGTAAGTTTACCAGACCTTTCCCCCATCCCTGCACCTTTGGATACAATCCAAGAATGCTGCTGCCTCCTGCTCTCACCTCCCTAATCCCTCCCTCCAAACAACCAGGGCAGCCAGAGGCAAACGTGAGTGACAAGATGTAGGGGGGTAATTGGGGGCATAGTGGGTGAGCACATCTAACCCCAGGGCTGTGCTCTGTCTGTGCAGGCACAGACCTCCCCTGCAGCTCTGTGGGATCAGTGTGGTCCCCTGAAAATGCAAAAGCAGGAATTTGGGAGCCTCTGCTTGCCAAAATCTCATCCATGTTCACCCTCCGGCAGCTCTGACAAACTCACTCACTGCAAAGGGATTTTGTCACCTCAGTGGTGTCAATAAGAGATCACAGCAAATAACTCCTGACTCCCCGTGGAAATGGAAAGGGCCTGCACACCATTTCCTTGGTGTCATCATCACCACTCACATCTTGTTGACTTAGGAAAAGGTTCTTCCCCCAGAGGGTGGTTGGCACTGACCAGGCTCCCCAGGGCAGTGGGCACAGCCCCAAGGCTGCCAGAGCTCCAGGAGGGTTTGGACAAGGCTCTGAGGGCCAGGGTGGGATTGCTGGGGTGTCCTGTGCAGGGCCAGCAGTTGGAGACTTGGCCCTGCACAGTTCTATGGCTTGAAAAGCAGCAAACAGCCTTACACCTCTTTTTTTCCCTCTCCCTCAGTTACAGACACAATTTCCAGTGCAGAGAAGCCCCGAGCTCACCTGACAGGTAAATTCGTTCCAAACTGAAGCCTTTCCTAGGGGGGTCTTACAGATGTTGTGGTGCAATAACCTTGTTCTGCATGGATCTGATAGGATCAGGTGTTGCAGGAAAGGGAAAAATAATCATCAGCTTTGCCTTGCTGATGATGACAGACTGAGTGCAGGCTGTGCCTGTAGGAAAGGGCCCACAAGGGAGGTAAAGGACAGAAATGTCACCACTTTTCCAAGCTGTTTCTTCCATTGAATGAGCAGCTCTTGAAACTGAGCTTAAATAAGTGCCTGATATCCCAGAGATCTGCTGAATCCCCTGAAAAAGGCAGGGGAAGGAGCTCAAGTGAGCCCTCGTGGAGCAGTGAATTGGCAAGAACTACCAGATTCGTAGCATAATCAGGTCAAATAAGGTCAGGTTTAGACTTTATTTTTCTGCAAGGCCTGACTTGGGTCACACACACCATATTCCCATCAAATCCCCCCCTTTTCCAGTGAGATCATCTCTAACACACATCAGAGCAAGCAAAGGGAGGATAATGCCAAGTTGAACCCTCCAACCCTTTCTCTTGTATTGGGAAGGTGGTATCACAAAGCCCTATTGCAGGGTGGGCTGTCATGTCTTTCTAAGGGGCTTCCAGGCTTTTCCAAAGGGCTGCCATGCCTTTCCAAAGGGATTCCATGCCTTTCTGAGGGGCTGCCAGCATCTGCAAGGTTCCCATCTCCCCACCTCAGCCTTGAGGGCTGTCACTGCCCTGAGACATCCCTCAGCTCCATCCTCACCAGCTCAACCCACCTGGAAAATTCAGGCATTAGCAGAGAAGAGAGGAAAGTGCTGGAGGATTTTCCAGCTGACCTGAGGCAATTTATACCTCCCTAAAGTCCAGCTCAGTGCAGAGACTTCCCTAAGCCCCTGAGTGTTGCCCCAGGGTGCCCTGTCCAACCTGAAGTAGGACATGGTGTGATCCTTCACACAAACCCACCTCCAGGGTTCAATCCATCAGGAGTTCAGGGCTGATTCCTTTCCCAGTATAGTTTTCTTTCCCTAACCCACAAGTTCCTTCCTGATGGTCCCCACCCCTTTGTCACAGGGCATTTCCAGAGCTCCAAAACCAACCTGGCCTTGCCCAAAATCCCATCTTTGCTCAAGTGCACGTTTGCAGGAGCACAAGGACCACGACTGCTCCGGTTTCCAAGGGGGACTCTGTGGCAGAAGAGGCTCAGAGGCTCCTGGTGCAGTGACCCAGAGGAGCAGCCAATCACTGCTCTGCTCAGGGGGACTCCCCTGGGTTGCACAAAAGCCCAGTTGCCACAGGGAAGCACCCAACAGTTTCTTTCAAGTTTCCTCAGGCCCCATATTGGCCAAAATTCCTTCAGCACCATTCCCAAGCAGCCTCCCTGGCATTGATCCCATCCTCTCCACCTGGTCTTGTGACATGGTCACACTTGGCCACAGCCAGGAGCACAAAATAAGACAATTAAGGGGATTTTATGTCTCCTTTCTGTGCAGAAAACCCACACCCAACCCGCTGTGCTGTGTAGGCATCAGGGAATCCAATATCCATGGATTTGTCTTTGACCTTTTCTTAGCCCAAACGTATTTCTGGTGCTGTACCCCGTGACAATGAGTTTCCAAGCTTAACAGCACGTTGTATTTCCTGTTATATTCAACAGAATTTAACAGAAAACATTTCCTGTTATATTCAGCTTTTGTGAGCAATAATTTATTGGGTTCCACCCTGGTTTTCTTTTTCAGAAATCACGACTTGTCCTAGAAAGAGTAAAAGGAATAATTATTCTCCTGCTCTTTGTTACATTCCTGCAGCTCAGGTATCATTCTCAAAGAGAAAGTGGGAGACTACAAACCCTTACCTGTAGGAAATCTTCTCCAAATCTCCCTTCAGTCTGTAATTTTCTAGTTTTAGGGACATATTTCTGAAGGTGAAAGCAGAGGAGTGAGAGGAATGAGAAGTAGCCAGAGCACTTCCATGGGAATGTGCCACTGAATTGGCATCAATAACTCAATATTTTGGTCTCTGTTCTTTATAATGAATTTTCCACCTGCTCTCTTTAACACCCACTGAGCATTTTGAGCTTATCCAAACTGACATCAAGGTCTCCCCTCCCTGGGTGGTTGTAACTTGTGAGGAATGGCAGGAGCCATGGGAATACCCAGCTCAGGCTCTTCTCCATCCACATTGATGAGATCCTTGGTTCTGACTGCTCCATCCCTGCCATCACCCCCTCTCCACTTATCTGGTTGCACTTTGGGTCAGGATGAAGACCAGCAACTCTTCCTTCTTGTCCCCAGCCTGTGGCTCAGCTGGGTGACCTGTGCTGTAGAAATTCCAGTGGGTTCCTGGCTCACACTCACCATGTGCAGTGGTACCCAAGCACATCATGAAATCTGGGGAGAGCATCACCTTCCATTCCAAAGCATCTTTTAAGGGCTGTGTTAAGTTCTCAGGGCATGAATTTGAGCAGCAGAAACCCTGCAGCTGCAGGATTTTGCTCTGCACATTGTACAAGGTTCAGACTCAAATCTCTTGCTGAGCCTCAGAGCACAGAGTTCAGGGTTAGACTCTCACACTGGGGAGGGCTCAGAGTTGTAGAAACCCTCCAAGTTCACTATGCCACAAAATACACCCCAAATCTGACAAGCAACAGGAATTCTCCAGCCAGAGACTAAAGCAAAAGGGATTTGGGGACAGGAGAAATAAGGGATGCCAGAACTTTATAGCAGAAGGACCTGTAGTAATGAATCCCTTATTAAAAGCAGATTTTACTTACCTCAAGAATCAGCACAACAGGTATGTTTGCAGGAAGTGTAGTTCCATAATTTATGAAATCAATAAATAAATGGCAAGTGCAAAGTAAAAGTGCTACTAGAAAAGGATCTTTATTGTATTCAAAGGCACTTGGACATGTATTTCAATATTACATTCAACTTGAGTATGTATTGTACCACTTGAACATGTATTTTTCCTCTTGACCAGTGTTGAAAGAACGGGGAAAATTAACTAACTTGAAAATAGAGAGCTTCAATAGAGTGAGATTTATGCTAAAAAAAGGAGGTTGTAACTGTTAAACTTGCCTAATTCTCGAAGTTTTGAAATCATGTACTTCATCTGAGCTCCTCTTAGTTATAAAGAACACTGAGGAATTGTGTGTCATTGACATCTGAAACGTGTCATCTGCACAGACAGGAATATTTCATAGGCAGCTTCTCCTCCATTCCCCCCCTCCCCCCCAAAATTCCCAAAATGGAAAAGAGCTCAGGACATTTTCTGGAAATATTCTGATCCTTCCTATCTCAAACAAATTCTTCTCTGCTGTGAGTTTCTCCCTGATGTGTTACCCCAAGCTCCTGTAAATCTTAGACTGACTCCAAGCTCCTTGAGCTCCTGCCAGGACTCAGATCAGCCCCTGACACCCAGAGGTGGATGAGGAGGAAGGCAGACCATGACTACTTTCTCTTTTACTTTCTTTTATTCCTCTCTTGTGTATCAGGCAAAGTTCCATTGGTTCTAAACATCATAGTCCTTACAATACTTCCATAATTTAGCTTGGCTTGCTCCCACAATCCCTGTGGGTGTTCCCACACACAGAAGCACTCTCCCTTTGTTCTTTGCCTCCTGGGGAAAGATCAGAAAGATTTGATACTTCAGCAGCACTGACAGACAGGCTGGAAAAAAAGGACATTATTCTGTTGTGGTACTCAGAGAATATGCAAGGAATTGCTCTCCCAACACCTTCTGGGCTCCTTATGGATTATTTACTGCTAGACAAGAGAGGGAATGGATGCCCCTGGGAGCTGAGAACATTCCTTCTCCTGAATCTCATCTCGCCCAGGATAAACCTAATGGTTATTGCCAAGGGATCTTCAAAGCCTTCCCTTCCCTGTATGCTGTTTGTCTCCCTGCCCATGCACAAACCCCCCTCCCCCAAATACAGAATCAAAACTAACTTTAAACAATAACTCAAGCTCATTAAAAAGGTCTCAGTTCCGGAAAATCAGTTCCCTCAGTCATTCTCAACATTCCTCATTGATTCTCCAGGTTCATTTTAACACCTGGCAGGATCTTGATGGGTTTTATCCTCTTCCTTTCCACTGCCTGTGTTTTACCACAACAGTTGATGTTTTACCACGATTTTATGTGGCAGCCAATAAAGAGCAGAGACAACTCTTGCTTCCCTGCAGAAAAATGTGCAAGTGCCGAGGTTTGTTCTCCTGGCTGTGGTGTGAGAGACATTTAAGTGGTGGAGGAAAGGTGAAGGGAATAGGGCAGCAATTCCCTGACTGTTCCCCTAAGAGTCTGCAGCCTGGGGAGCATCCTCAGCTTGGATCAGCTGATGCTGGGGTCTGGATTAGAGCTCTGCTTGTAATCAGCTACCAACAAGACTGAGAAAAAACCTGGAGGAATGTTGAGGCTGACACCAAGCTTAGGGGTTTGTCCCAGCAAAAGACAAAAATGGTTTTAAACATAATGTGCTGCTTCAAAATCGGGCCTCTTGATGCACAGTGGGGTCTTCTGAGCTTTGGGTAAAATCAAATGGCACAAAGGCAAATCTACAGCAAAAGATTTGGTTGAGAGCACTCAGGAGGAAAAGCTTGAGGATGAGAAAGCTCAAACTCCCCTCAGGGAGCAACTTGGCTGGAAGAGAAGCTCAGGTGTGTCAGAGCTTGGTGACACATTGTGGGGATCATTGTGGACACTCTGCCAGCACAGTAGTGCCTGAGAAACATCATTGCAGCCCATCCTTGATGAAGGAAATGATGCTTTAGCATTTCTTCTGACTGTCCCTAAACATTAGGTACAGCCACGGCACCCATGTGTCCAACTGCCCCAGTGCTAGTTTCACTAAAGGACACGGGTTTTACTCTGTAAATGGGTCAGACAGCAAGGTAAAGCCACCCCAGTGCCAGAGACTCAGAGACTCAGAGACTCATTGTCCTTTAGGAAGGACAATCCCACCTTTTTGTGTCTGACCCACAACCAGGACCCCAGGCACAACATATCCCTTCAGGCACCTCTTCCAAAGCATCCTTGGCTTTCCCTCCTGATTGCTCTGGTCTGGGCACCCTGTGATGCTCACACTGAGCTTAGTGTTCTGTCCCAGCAAAGCATTTTAAAAAAGAGATAAAAATGGTTTTAAACATAATGTGCTGCTTCAAAATTAGGCCTCTTGATGCACAGTGGGGTCTTCTGAGCTTTAGGTAAAATCAAATGACACAAAGGCAAATCTACAGTAAAAGATTTGATTGGGAGCACTCAGGAGGAAAAGCTTGAGGATGAGAAAGCTCAAATCCCCTTCAGGGAGCAACTTGGCTGGAAGAGAAGTTCAAGTGTCTCAGAGCTTGGCGATACATTGTGGGCATTCTGCCAGCACAGTAGGGGGGTCTTCTGAGCTTTTGGTAAAATCAAATGACATTGGGAAACCCAGTGAGCACCCCTGGAAATCCCACTGCACAGTCAGCCTGCAGCCGATTCAAGCTGTGAAATAAGAACATTTCTGTCCTTATTTTGATCACCCTGTTTGATCTGTGTCCAGTTCTGGGCCCCTCAGTTCAGGAAGGATATTGAGGTCCTGGAGCATGTCCAGAGAAGAGCAACAAGGCTGGTGAAGGGACTAAAGCACAAGTCCTATGAGGAGAGGCTGAGGGAGCTGGGGCTGTTCAGCCTGGAGAAGAGGAGGCTCAGGGGAGACCTCCTCACTCTCTGCAACTCCCTGACAGGAGGGGGGAGCCGGGGGGGTTGGTCTCTTTTCCCAGGCAACCATCAGCAAGACAAGAGAGCATGGTCTTAAGCTGTGCCAGGGGAGGTTTAGGTTGGAGATTAGGAAGAATTTCTTTCCAGAGAGGGTGCTCAGCCATTGGAATGGGCTGCCCAGGGAAGGGGTGGATTCTCCGTCCCTGGAGGTTTTTAAGATGAGACTGGATGTGGCATCAGTGCCATGGGCTGGGAACCACAGCGGGGTTGGATCAAGGGTTGGACTGGATGATCTCGTAGGTCCCTTCCAACCCAGCTGATTCCACGATTCTATGATTCTGTGATCTCCTCACCCCCTGGAGCAGAGATGTTCATCCAGCAGCACAGCCCTGGCTGCAGTGACCTAACCCACCTCCTCTCCCTCTCTCTTCCTCCCACAGTGAAGAAACAAGACCCCATCAGCGCCGTGGGGAACCACCTGCCCATCCTGCAGTGGGAAGACAAGCGAGGCTTGGCCTTTACCAAGAACAACCTGAATTATTCCAGCAACGCTCTGGTGATTCCTGTGTCTGGGGACTACTATGTCTATGCTCAGGTCACGTTCCGAGGGCTCATCGAGAGCCCCAACAAACACATTTCTGTCACTGAGATCATCACCAAGGTCACTGACAGTTACCCTGAGCCCACCCAGCTGCTGACAGGCACCAAGACCCTCAGTGAGAACTGGAATGGCTGGTACCAGCCCATTTATCTGGGGGCTGTGGTCTCCTTGGAAGTGGGGGACAAGCTGATGGTCAACGTCAGCGACATCAAGCTGGTGGATTACACCAAGGAGCACAAAACCTTCTTTGGGGCCTTTTTGCTGTAGGTCTCTGCCAGCAGCTGGGGAGGTTTTCCCTTCAGGGCCTTGGGGGGACCTCGTTGGACTTTGGCTTTGTTGGGTGTGCGTTGGGGTGCGATTCCTGCTGTTGTCCCTCCTCTGTACCACCGCCCCCCTGCAGCTCACTGGAGCCTTCATTTAATGGGTAGGGAAAGCTGAAGCTGCAGGTTGAACTGAAATAACATCCCCTCCCAAAAAAAAAAAGAAACCACCAAAAAAAACCCCCAAAACAACCAACCAACCAAAAAAACCCAAAACCAAAAGAAACAAACAAAAAAACCCAAAACAAACAAAAGAAACCCCTGAAAACAAAATCCCCCAAACAAACAAACCAAAAGAAAAAGAAAACCAAAAAACACAAAACCAAACCAAACCAAACCAAAAAAAAAACCAAACAACCAAAAAAAAAAAAAAAAAAAAAAAACAAAGAGAAAAATGAAAGTCTGATCAGAGGAAAAAAAATGTACTTTTGAGAGTAAAATTTGAAAGTTCTTCAAAACTTTGTAAGCTAAGGGGGAACAGTTGATACCTGTGGGGAGGAATGTTGATCTGGAATATTGCAGCTAAGCTACATCTCTATTTCCACCTCCAATGTCCAATTTCCTCAACTCCGAAACAAAAAGTGTTTTGAACTTTCTCCAGCACTTCCAGTATAGTTTTGCATGACCCTTCTTCAGATTCTCGGTTCTAAAAGGTAATGACTTTTCGTAATTTCCTTATGAACAGATTCAGCACTTTGCACTAACATAAAGCTCAGGCGAATTATTAACTGCTTAATTAATCCCTTCCGACTTCCCTGTAAAGTAGATTAAAATTATATCTCGTGGTTTGCAGCAGCTACTTGAAATTTTTGGTTTTTCCCCCAAAAAAAAAATTGTTTACAGTTTTCTAAATCAACACTCAGCCTCAAAATGTTACGTGAAAGATGTAGGGAACACACACCAACAGTGTGAAAGTGGCATCTCCCCTCCAGGTCCTAATACTAGGAGAGAGACACGCAGCAAAGTGTTGCACACTTTTAAATCAGCCACTGAAATTTGGAGGGAAAACCTCTGCCATATTTTGCTTTCTCTCATGTTTAATGCCTAAAGAAATCTTGGTGCTTCCCCTTGTGCAACCATTGCCAGCGGTGCTGCCCTGACCTCAAGGGACTCCCTGGGTGAAGGTTGACCACCAACTGTCCCTCCACAGGGTCAGAGGATGCAAAGACACCGTCCTGGTGTGCCCTGGGCAGGTGTGGAGCTCAGGAGTGTCTCACTTCCAACCTTGTTTATTTGCATAGTCCTCGCTGTCCCTCAGGGAAACTCCCCAGCTTTCCCTCTGCTCCTGCAGCAAAACCCAGCCCTGGCAATGACTCATGTTCTCAGAGATCTGGACTTTCAGTGGCCATTCTTACAGTGGCCACCCTCCTTAAAACTGAACAGCTAAAAACAGGGGACTTCAATTTAACAGCATCTTCTGAAGCAGGGATCTCTATTTACCCAGGCTGTGATGGTCCAACTGCCACTGGAGTCAACCAAAGGAATCCTATTGATTTTAGAGCATGTCCCAAACACATTTGACTGTGATATTTAGATGAATATATGGGCTGAATACAACTTCCAGGAGGTCTCACAGCCCAGCACCCACCACCCAGCTGCTCTGAGACTTCCAGGCTTCACCCTCTGCAACTCTTTCCTGCCTCTCATCTCATGGGATTTCCTCCAGTTTTCCACTTCTTGGCCAGAAATGACAGCAAGGCTTGATTTCCTAAACTGATATTCCTGCTCCAAGTGTTTGTGGAGCCCAAATTCACACCATTAGTGTAGCACTGGGGATGGGGGTTGTAGCTGAGGGGCTGAACTGGGCAGAGAAGCTCTTTAGTGGAGACAGCCCAGTTGTAAAAACCATTTGTGATCCTGCAGGCAGCAGTGCCACCAGGCTGCTTTGCCCAGGCAGGTCTCCCCCCAGCAGGAGACGATTTTTTCCCATATAAAGATCTGTTTGAGCTGACAAGGAAAAGCCCCAGTGCAGCTGAAACACAGAGCAGAGAGAAAAGCGAAGGCTGGGAGTGGAAGGAGGAGCAGAGCAGGAGGTGGGAAGGTCCAGCCAACACCAGATTTCTGCCTCTTCATGGCTTAGTGCAAGCACCTAAGGTGAAAACTACCAGGTCTTTTATGTAGTAAATCATCTAAAAAAAAAAAGCTTTTTGGCCATCCTTCCCTATTCTGGATCCCAGATTTGCAGTCCTGCACTCTTTTATCCACCCTGAGTCAGCACTAAACACATCCCAGCAGCCAGGAGAACATCCTTACTGGCCTCCTTTCCTCAGCAAGTGTCTGTTTTGCTTCCAGATTCTCCTCGAGTCATTGTGGGTCCAGTGGGAGACTTTCACAACGTCCCTGCATCCAAACCTCAGCACAGTTTGGTTTCCCATCCTTTCTCCGACTTGTCCTTCATTTCCTTTCTCCCACAGGCACCTTCCTGCCTGCTTGGCCCTGTCCTGTGTGGACATCTCCTTATCCAAATGCCATTTCCTACAGGAAACTTCTCTCTTAGAGTCACCCCAGTGACTTCTCAGCATAGGCTCAGGTGGCAGAAAATAAAGGTAATGATCCCACAACCCCTCCTGGCCAGAGGATCCTCTTAGCCCTTTATTAGCCAGATTCACTTCCATCTTTGAGTCCTCATTCCCATGTTTCCTCCAGCTGTTCAGCCCCTGTTTTCAGTCTCAAACAGGAGCAGTTATTCCCTGTGTATCCCTTCAGAGCCCAGCACACACGACCTGCCCTTGTTCCTTCTCAGAAAGGCTGTTTGATCATCCAGCTCCTCAGCTGGGCTGTTCTCACTGCTCAGAGACCCCCCACCCCATGATCAAATCTGGAGAAAAATCCCTACAAAATTATTCTCTGGGAAACCCTAAGACTTTCCACATCTCAGATTCTCTGAAGTTTCTCTCAACATGCCGTGTTAAAACCTTCTGAGTTTCTCATCCCTCAGCTGTGTGCCCAAAATGGGATCTGAACTCACGAAAACACAAAATCTGCAGCTCTTGCAGAGCACACAAAACAGTGTGGTCAATCTCAGAAAGGGAAGATTTAAAAGTGACCTGTCCAGGACAGGTGATTCCCAGGAAATAGGCAGGAAAACTTCTGTGAAGTGCTATATTGGATGAATTTGGTTTATCCTTGGAGAAAATTAGAGTGGAAATTCTATTTATTCCGAGTTACAGTAATTCAGAAAGCTCTTTTTTTTTCTATAAATGAGGTGGTGTAGCATTTTTCTGAGGGCACAATCCAGTTCTGGTAGGCTTGGACAGCAGAATTCCATAAAAACTGTATCCAAAGTCATCATCAGCTAATCCTGGTGTGCTGAGTGATGGGGAATGTGAGGGCTCAGGGAGAGCAGTGGTGGATGCAGCACTTGGCATTCTATGGGATATGTACACATGTATACCCAGACATGTATATTTGTGTGTATTCCATAGAAATTCCACAAGCCCATTGCAATAATCAGCCTTTTTTAGCACAAAGCACATTATTTGTGCTCTCTGTACACTAACAATGAACTTCACCAGCAAATTTGTTTCTGTTGCAGCTCCCTTACAGGTGTGACTCTCTCAGTTCACTGCCCATGGCACAGAAATATTTATTTTAGTCCAATTAGAATAGTTTTATTTCAGTCCAATTTAACCCTGTTACACACACCAGCTTTTAGCACATTTAGCACAATTTATATGGCATAAAATAACATATTTGGCATTACTTGTTTTAAAGTGATGCAGGAATATTAATCCCCACATCTCCCCCAGTGGAAATTTTCTCCCTTTTCCTCCCCTTCTCATTGCTAATAATGTTTGTGGAACAGCATCAAATATAATAAGTATTCAGGGGCTGATTCTGGCCCAGATATTCCTCCACAGAAATCAATGGCATGAAGTCAGAGTAAAAATAACTTAAAATAAGACAAAGGTCAAGCTAAAAGTGAAATATCTCCAACAGACTGAACCCAAACTGTGGATTCTCACTTGGTTTTTTTTAAATCCAAATAAGGACACAAGTGTTCTCAGAAATTTGTGTTTATTGGATTAGAAAATGTTGTTTAATGTAAAGCATTTCTGGAGGTGTGAAATGTCTCTGCATCAGCTTTGTCAAGTTAGGGAGAAGCTGATGAAATCTGGTCATGGGAACCAGTGACCTTGAAATCTGGGGTCAAACTGACCATGTGACTTGTTTTAGGTGGTTTTGAAACTAAAACCATTATGAGAAAAAAAATTGAAGCTGGAGAAAAAGGGTGAAATTAGCAGCTTGGGCTAAAGGAGGTGAAATATGTGATTTCAGGGTTTGACTCTTCCATTTCTTAGCAAGAAAAAATGAAAGCACTTTTCAGAACAAAACCATTGAAAGAAGAAATATCAGATGATTATTATTATTATTATTATTTTTTAACCACTGCTCAAACCATTTTTTTATCTCTGCTCAAAATATTTCAGATCTTACAAATTGTCTTCTTTCCCAATCTCTTTGATCCCTGAAAAACTAACACTAAACACGACCCAAATTCATAAAAAATTCGCTTACCTCCCACTTCCTTTCCCCTTAAAAACTAAATATTGGTAAATAACCATTAACTTCCTCTCCATATTGATGCAGAAGTAAATTTTATTTAAGCTTTAGGGAATGCAGCTGCAATCCTACCAACATCAACCTGTGCTGTGTTCAGTCCCTGAGCATGTGGCTAAAGGGAAAAGGGAGAATCCAAAGAGAAATAGGAGAATCCAAAGGGAAAAAGGGCTCAGTTTTCCCGTTTGGTGTATGGGAGGAGTAAAATCTACGTTCCTCAAATCAAAAGTGGGTGGAATGTTTTAATTCCATCGACTCCATCACGACAGGAGGAACCCTCCTAAATCAAGGAGCGCTTGCATGGAGCATCCAGCACAGGAATGTTGGCAGGATCAGGGGCTGGAGGTGTAAAAACACAACCCAAAGGACCCAAAGGATGCTGCTGGGATGATTTGGGATGTCACAGGGCTGTGGGTGTGGTGAACATTCCCCCTACAAAGGGGGCACTTCCCCACGGACCAAAGAATTGGATTAAGGGAATTCACCTGGAATTTTCCACGGGGATATTTCAGAGTTTGGAAGGAATCTCGTTTTTTCCCCCCTCCATGTCATAACTGACCACGCTGTGCTTTGGTTTATTTATCTCCTGAGTGGCCCATCATTTCA